CATTTTCAATGTTAACACAATGGCTCAGGATTTCTCACTGAACACTGCGTAGTTAAAAATCATCTATCGAACCTTGGTATTACTGCCTATCAAATTATAACAGAATTAGGTAACATCTCTCCAAAGGACATACTGGCTTTCTTAACTGCTATTCGTCTATGGAACTGAAGTGGGTATGTCACAATAATCCTCAAATGATGCAAAGACGAGGTGACAAGTTCCCAACCCATCTTAAAATCTAATCTAATCTAAACACAACGGCTTATTCAACTCAAGTACATTACAAAGTTTTGGAATCGGCATTTCTCTTACTTGATTTGCATAAATACTACTCATAATAAAAATAAGTAAAAAATTAATTGGCAGAAATAACTGGATCGATAAACTATATACTGCTTTGCTAAAAGATTATATATGAAAGATTTGTTAAAAAAACCCATTTGTAAATAGATACTCCCATTAACCGTGTATTACTGCCAGTCATCCAGTTAATAAGTTAAGTCTTTATGCAATGAAGATCTAATACTATATGTTGATCAAGCTGATCGGTATGTTGAACAGTATGTAAGTAACTTCTACCTACAATAAGCTAGCAGAAAAAAAGTATGAGTAGGTGTTCCTTTTGACGCTCTACATGAGAACATAATTCGGTACCCCCATAGAGACATTTATGGTAGCGTAGTTAATTAATTAAATTGTACAATTTTTTTATTCTCGACGATATTTCTAAGACCGGGAAACCAAATAAGTGTAATCATAGCGAGTTGCTTCATAAAAATTCGCTTTAGAGCGGTATTTTGTAGTGACAAAATGCTACACAACCTTATAAAATATTAAGTCGCAAGTTGAACCCAATAATTGGTTTTGGTGTTTAAAAGGCTTTAACGACTTTAAATAATTCAGAATTGAGAGTTAGTGGCCTCCTATCGTTTTCAGAGAGAGATGTTCATGAATTCTATTTATTGAAAATTATACCTATATATTTCTAGTTTTCGCTTTAGTAAATACCACAAGCTAACTTATAGTAGTACTTAATGACATTTTCTAGTGATAAATATAGCTCTAGTCTTTTCAAGTTTCAATTTAATTTTTCACTTTTTGAAGTATTTTACTTTAAAATTCATATGTCCTTGCTGTACAATTCATTACTATTGGCGTTACAGCAGTATAGAAAGTATAAATAAGAACTGCAAGTACTCTTCATTGTGGAATTCCTGTTTTAATAGTTCTTAAGATAGAGTATTCATCTATACTTTCTTTAAAGTAACTTTCTGATAAATGCATAGATAGATTGAGAAAGCAACAGAGTACTGGTTCCTAGAGACCGAAACAGTGCGACTATGATTTCTTTTGTGTTTATCGATCCTAACTGAAAGAAGACATACCGGCTTTCAGCTTAGCAGCTTAGCAGATTGCATAGCACAATCAAAAAACAACCTAAGAACTATTACGGGGTTATTGACCAGTCACTGCAGATTGAATAATCACCTATCGAAGTCAGGAATTCAATCCAACTCAGACTGCAGATACTGTAGAGAAGAGAGAGAAACTTGGGGAGTGTCCAGCACTGATGCACAAGTGGAACAAATACCTAGGAGGGTTTTTCAGGGATCATAAGGATTCAAGACTAGGAAAGGTAGGCTCTATACGTTTTCATTAAAGATATCGGACTTGGAGAAAGACTCTAACCCGAGTAAGGGGCATAATAGATGTTTTAGGTCGCAGTGCACAATCCCTTCTTTTAATAATAATAATAGGAATTTTAACAGAAATTATCCAAAGTGAATTGAGAAACTTCTTTTCAATATTAATTTAAATGAGTACTTGCCAATTTTTGTCAGCCCTTAATGTTTGAAATCTTTGGTATATCCATTTCAATTTTCAGTAATACAGAATAAATTTATTAAAAAAAATGTTGAATTTTAGTAAAAAGCCATTACAAAATGAGTTTGGGAAAAAAATGCTAAAGTTAAAATTTAATTTAACTTGTTACCTCAAGTATTTTTATTCTTTATGCTTCAGAGATTCTGGCTTTTCTCGTTTTGTAAAAATTTCAATTATGTATTTTTTGGTTACATATAAAAACGACTCTCTGCTGAATCTACTGAATACGTAATGGGAAAGTGCATAGAATTGACTGAGTTTGTTGTATGAGTACGTATGAGTCCATTGATTTATGAAGTAACAGCAATAGAAAGTTTTTGTTTTTACAAAAATTCGAAATTAACGAAAACTCACATGAAACTCAAATTTGACAGACTCACATGCACCAAAACACCATATACCGTATCTATAGATATTCATAAATATATATATGTTTGCATGTATATGGTATATATATGCATGAAAAATAGCATACCTCTCGGTTATTGGGAATTCTTAACAGGTTCATTTTGTAACTAACGTTCAGAAGTTAGTCTGTGCTCACTACACACAGAGAGGGTTGGAAGTCCCCAACACACCATAAATGTCTAAAATAGTTTTCTAATTTTCAACTTTTATTTGTAGAGTTAATTGAAATTGAATAATAGTCTAAAGTAAAATAATTTGTAATTCTATAATTGAAACTATACCATCATAAAACTCATACTTTCGAATTACTCTTAGAAGTAATATTTCTGATACCATAATATATTGTTAGCTTAACTCTGCTGTATTTACAGTACTTAAATATTTGTATTTCACTATATTATTCAAAAAAAGTGTTGGGACTTTACATACTTTAGATAAATTTTATCAGACGCATAGAACGACAATGGTAAAATAGTTGCCTGCCTGTCTGTTGATCGGACGTATTTGTCTGTTGATAATCTAATGGTTAATCCTAACCATCTTATTCTGTTTAATATAAGCACAAATTTTAAGAATAATTTAATTCAGTTAGAGAGTCTTCTGCAAGAGTAAGAAGACATCCATTCGAACACTTCTCTGACAACTTTATGCCTTTTTCAAAGAACAGTTAGCCCTAAAATAAGCTTCAGTGGAAATTAATTCTTCACTGGGACCAAAACTCTTCGAAACATTCTTTCTCGATCTGTAAACCGATAATTATCGATGAGGGTCACAATAGGCAAGGCAAATGAGAAGGCAATTCAGAGTCTAATTCGCCACAGACCTCTCTTGATTAAAATGCAGTTTTACTTTTTTATTTCAAATCGTGTTTTTGGCATTTTTTCTTCAAATGCATTAACAACGCAATTTATATAAGAATCAAAAGGAATAACTGCATTCTACTTGTATCCCTCTTAATTTTTTAAGGTAATCCATAGAAATGTATCCTGAGCATATCAAACTAAGGAAATGAAGCCTTACCAGCTAAAACTAAATGCTTAACTAACATTCTTTTATATTAATACTTACAGAATTTATTAGATTTTAATGATTAATAAACAATAAGTAATATTATTCTAACATTATTTACTTTCATAATTGTAAGTAGTTTTTTTTTATTGCTTAAAATATATTCATTTTAACATAAAAGACAGATGAAATCATAAGACTTTCACATAGAATCTGAGGCACCAGGTCTACTGTCTGCATTTTTGCGTGGCTGTTGTTACGAAATGCTATTTTTGCAAAAAGTAGTATTAATAAAAGTAGTATTTAATCCTGCTGTAATTCAATGATGTAAATACATGCATTATGAGTACATAAAGTACTCATAATTGGAAGCACTGAAAAACGTCTGTAAATACCCAGCAGCACATATTTTTGCGTGTGAGAACAGATGACAAAAAAAACAACTAAAAACAGTACCTTAGTTGAGAAGGGGGACTAAATCAATTTTAACAAGAATTATTAAAAAAATATTTCAGCTTATAAGTCAAGCTTTAAATACACAATTACTGTGTAATCTCATAAAACTATTATGAAGTGGGGCTTATTTGCAGGCTCCAAGTACTTGAAATTAATTTGCTCACACAAATCTGATTCTGAGGAGTGAAGGTTGTACATTTACCAGCTCCAAAAATGCTTAATGCTTATGCTTAGTGAGTTAAGATTGTACTAGTACAAGTTTTGAATAAGTGAAATTTATACTCCAACACAAATCTGCTCTTATTGATTAAAGGTTTCACTTTCACAAGCTAAAAGCTCTATATAACTACAACTAAAGCATATTGATATGGGTCATCCCTAAAGTCACAGACTGAGCCAAAAGTCGTTAACCATCAAAGTCGTTAATTAAAACAATGACTTAGATTTGATGACATCAGCTTCAATGACCGATGGTGTTTTTTATTTTATGAGACGACAAATTTTTGCACTTGATAATTATGAACTATTTATTCTACGTAAAGATAGTGATAGTGATATTAGGAGTTCTGCTAATGCAGGCAAAAGCGAAAATACTTATAGAAATATACAAAAAATTAACGCTCAAAATAAAAGTTAATATTCTTAATAAAACAAAACTGACTTTATTAGTTATTTCGACGTTATACAAAATTAAAAGATAGTGATGTCTTTATATAGTGGATACGCTCCTTTATAAAGTTGTTGGCCCAATACGTTTCTATCTATTATGTGAACGTCAACAAATAACAAAGCACTTAAATCTCTCGAAGAAGTACATACCATATATATTATAGATTGGTTACGAATTTGGTTTTAATTATTAATTAATTTAAAAAGATGGCTGTATTTTCAGTTGTGCTGCAAAATTGAAATTTAATGTACGCCTCAATTATAGACCAGGTCGGAGCCTGAAATCATGGTCCTCCAGGTATGCTAAATGCTAAATGTATGATAAATATTAAACACATCTATATTATATTTACACACAACTAGTGTTAATTACATAGTTTAAAAAATTTAAAAATTATTGAAACAAAGTTTAAGCAGTATTTCTGCAAAACAACTCTCCCCTGTCCCAATCAGTGCGCATTTGAAACATAGCACTCTGTATTTATAGACATGTAACTACAACAAACATACAATCACACTTCTAGATCGACATGAGTTGGGATATTAAAAGTATAAATTTGTTGTATAACACTTACTGTATAGCTTTATGGTGCCATCCATTTCGCCACGAGGATTTTTGGCGACACACTTATAGCTCCCGTAATCGCTCTTTTGTACGTTTGTAATCGTTAGACGCATTGTTGCTTTATACGATGGATTACCGGCTATTGTTTCAGTTCTGTAATGAGATACAATGAAATTACAATATTTTAAAGTATAATTTTAGGCTTGCAATGAATAGTACATTTTGCATTGTGTTGGATGATTTTTGCGTGTTCTTTTGTGTGTGTGTGTATGTGTGTGTGTGTGTGTGTGTGTGTGTATGACTGGCGAGTGCATATAAATTTTAAATTAAATTACTAAATATTATGGCCCAAAGCCGAGAGTCATGGATACAATGAGTTCAGTTGGTTTTATAATTTTCTCCTTTTTCCCAGCCATTTTTATTGTTTGGTGCGAAGACGAGCTGTTAGTCCGCCTGAAAGTCCTTTCATTTGTTTCGTATTACGAATTTCGTATTTCGTATTTCGCATTTCGCATTTCGCATTTGGCATTTCGTTTATTTTTTGCTCAATTGAATTATGGTTGAAAAATATTTTCAATTTCATTTAATGGATTTTTGGTTGAAATGAACAAGTTGAGTGCTTAACTTGTGCAAAATTGAAAGAGCTCTTCACTTTATAATTTTACTTAAATAAACGATTTCAAGTGGTTAAGCCCTTCAGAACAATATGAAATGGTTATTGCGAAAGTGTTTGCATTTGCAAAAGATACAGATGTTTGCATTATCAACTGAAACTGGTGTAAACGCATTAAAAAAGCTTAAATTTAACTTTTTCAGGTGAAATTTAAAAACTTATTACTATTTATAGATTAAATACTTAATAGGTTACTAGGTTTCTGTCCTTGAAGGCAATCAGTTGGAAGGCTTCTTAAAATGAAACTAAGTCTTATGTAGATGTTGGAATTCTCAGATTTTAATAAAACATAAGACAAAGCTGTTTTCTGTACGACTACAATATTTGGGACGGCATGAGAGGTATTTTTTAAATGATAGATTGTGATAAAATCGACTATTTTCAACTGTATATGTCGTATATACTATTCCTTGAGATATCATGTATTCAAGCCATAAAGAGATTTATATTGATAACATTAATATCATGTAGTGATTGATTACACAAACGACTATTAATAACAAGTGAATGTATCAGAAGATAGCGTTCGAGTAATCGGATAGTAAACAAAGTCTCCGGAGTTGAAAAAAGAATTGGATTTTTTGAAAATCTGAAGTTTTCGAATATTCGGATTTACGATCATTATCCGCAGTAAAATTAGCCACACAAATAAACACAAATTTTTTAGGGATAATAGAATATGTTGTTGTCTGTAAGATTTTGAGTATTTGATAAGCAGAAAATTATATGTGTTAATTATATTGTCGAAGATAATCAAAGACCTCGAATATGCAAAAAATTTATTTCTTTTTCAGCTCCGAAGATTTTGTTGCTATCCCATTAATCGAATAACTTCGATTTTTAAAATATCATAATAATATAAACAGCACTAATATATAGTGGCATATTTGGAGTAATAATTTCCAAACTTGAAGTTCGATATTACGCAGCAGAGAAACTGGAGAAGGTCCGTTAACGGGTTCTTATGATCATACAAGTAAGGATATTTTTAGAACCAAGCTATATTGATATAAAGCGTTGTGAAGAATGTTGCTCAGATTATTCGTTTTCATAAAAATTTGTCATCAAATAGCGTCAGTCTAGAAATCATCATTTTCAAATGGGGCTACAAATTGCTGACCATAATTTTTTTTAAATTACTTTTTTGATGATGTCGAACTTAATATTTGGAAATAAGATATAAAAAGCCAAGTGCGATATATTTCGTGTAATTGCTTTATAGTGTCATTTGACACGTTGTTTTCATTATTCTGAGAATATTTTGAATGAATAGTTTCAGCACATTCGATTGGTCTAAGGTGGCGCCATAGCAAAAATTTTATGAATGGCTCTTCAAACAAATGTTATAATTAGTCATTCTTACCATCCTCGTCAAAGTTGGAGTGTAAGAGTAGAAGAAGCTTTATAAAGATATGACCACTTAAAATGTCTTCAAACCGGAGACTGAAAATAACAATCGTGTAAAATAATATTACAGAAACGGTCTCGATTCTAGTAGTGTTCGAGAAGAAACAACATAAACTATGTTATTAAGAGAAGTATTATAAATAGATTATATAAATATATGTAAGGTAAGGCACATAGTATTTGAGTGAATGTGGGTCTAGTCGTTCATTAACACATCATATGAAATAAGCATATAACACATGAAATACAATATAATCAGTAAATATACCTTATATATATATAAGTTATTTATATTATTAATACATTTATACATATGAAAACAATGATCAAAAATATGTATGACAAAATTTGACTTCAAAATAATGCTTAGTCACTCTTCAGTTTTTTACTGATTTTTTCGAGAGAAATGAACTTCTCGAATTTGAAAATATTTATGTTAATGAATTCGATTATTGTGAAAATTGCTACGAGAATATTTTTTACTTGTACTGCGTTTCCCAATGTCATCGTTCTTTACGATAAGACGACGATCTTAATGAAATCAAGGCCAAGGTGACAGTGATTACACACACAATGCGCTTAATACTCGCATGTAAATTTCAGTCGCTGAATTATGTGTCTTTACGTATGTTGAAGTCAATGTTTGCTTAGTACACTGCAAAAAATTTAAATGCTAGCAGAAAAGAATTATAATTTTAAGAGTATAATTTATGATGATGGTCTGAAGATCGTCTATAGCTGTCTTAAGAGATATAGAAGAGCGCTGACGTAAGTTGCGAATATATTTTTGCTATTCTGAAAGAAAAAATTATGGCTAACAGATACTTGACTGTAAACATGTAATGCTCATGTAGTATATATCCAATAAGGGGCTTATATTTTTAAAGAATATATGCAAGCATTAAAACAGTTTGAAGAATACAGTAAAAGCTCTTTTAAGCGCTCTTTGATAGGACGAATAATTCTACTCGATGAAGCTAAATTGATAAAACTGCCTAAAGCTGATGGAAAACGTACATTGTACGAAAAATATCAACAGAAAATTAGAATCATTTCTTGGTTAAGATATATCACTTATGAGTGTATAACAGAGCCTTCACTGTACTTCTAAATAAACTTGTAACTGCTTTACCTAACATTGCTTTAGGTTTTTTAATATTAATATAAATATTAATGCTAATATAATTTGCTATTTTTTTTAATGACTTTATTCTTATTCTACATTTTTTAAATACTTTTTTTTATTTTTTTTTTTTTATATACTATATTGTAGCTTATTTTTTTTATTATATTAAGTCTAGTTATTATTTACTTAAAATTTTTTTGTTGTGTTTGTTTTTTGTAAAACATTGATTATTGCTATTACTTATTTGATTAATTTTTTTTTTTTTACTTACTAAATTTTTTTATTATTAATTTAATTTCTTGTTAAATTTATTTTCATTTTCAAATATTTCCATTAATTTTTATTATTTTGTTGCTCTTGCTTAGTCTGCCCCAGTTTTTTTTATTAAAATTTATAACAACAATATATTAAAATACGTTCCGTAATTAAACTATATAATTTTTTTCTTATTGTGGTTTACAAAAAATATTAATATATAATTTTCATGATAATATATATGAGTTTATTACAAGTTTTTTTCGATCATTTTTTTTTATGTGTTTTGTAGTAAAAATCACTTAAACATTGAAAAAATAATGAAAAGCTTCTATAATGAAAATGCGAGCAAACGCAACTCAATAGACTCATGAAAAAAATAATTTATTTCTACTGTTTGTCAGTGTGTCTGTCCGTCCAATAGATTTCTGAATCTGTTCTAGGTAAGCACTTGTTCCTTAAGCAGTTTACTGAGTTACTATTTCTTCAATTAACGTGCGATTTGCAATAGTGAATCTCTCAGATTGCTGACTATTCAACGCTTAAGCTCTTTACAATGCTCACGAAAAAACGCATAGAACGCAGATTAAATATTTTCGAGAGGGTCACCTAGTTTAGTTCATATAATTTTTCAATTGATATTAAATTAAATGTTAGAATATTGTATTAAAATAACACTACATCGAAATATTTTAGTACTTAAAACTAATTAAACCCTTAATAAGTATTAGACTTATACACTGCAATTACATATAAAATAAATATAAACGATCACAGTGATATGTGATTTGCTGGATATGTTAATGATTTGACATTGTGTGTATAAATATTTTAAAAAGTAGACAAACCTAAAGTCTTTCTACTTGTCTAATCTATCTAAGTATTGAATATTAAAAAAAGGGCTTGTAAAATGCTTGTATTCAGAAGTGATATAAAAAGAACGAGAACGACTTTTTTTGCTTTGGTAATTCTTAAATAAGAACTTATGGCAATTTTTGAATCAACCCAATATTCGTATAATCTCTTATCAAGATTAAGATGAGACCCTAAATATTTACTAAAATACAGAGGAAAGTGGCAAACTAAAGTACATTCACACTGTCGCATTTAGGCATTCGCTCATTTATATTAATGAGTAAACGTTCACATTACGAAATGAGTTTATTTATGCAGCTGATTGAAGTTTTATAAACTTCACTTAATAATACATCACATAAAAAATTAAATACATAATTGATATATTAAATCAACTAAATATGTTATTATATTAAATATGAATATATTAAATTAATAAATTAAATTATATATTAATATTATATATATAAAATTATTATTAAATTTATTAAATTATATGTTTATATATCAATTAAATATATTTTTATTTATTTTCATATTTTTTATCTAAAAATTGTTAGTTATTTTTTAACTTTTAGACAGCTTTTAGACTTTTAAACAAGTTTTAGACAAGAAATTTCAAAAATTAGAAGAAAATTTTACAAAATCTTTTTGAATTTCATATTTTTTTATATATTTTGTATTTATATATTAATAAATACTCACTTCATCAGTGTCTTTGTTACAGTTTGTTTTCATTTTACATATAAAAAGTATAATAAACATTTTAACTCTTGATAATTTTCCTTGCGGAAAATTTATTTTTAAGGGCTGCATTTGACAATTTTCGCTTTAAATGAGCTGATTTATTAATAATGAGCTCATATTTATGGAAGATTTTTGTATGGTAAATCATTCTCATTAGTGGTTATATTGAGCAAACCCACCTAAATGAAACAGTATGAATGTGCTATACGTTAAGAAGCACTGAAGCTCTTTATATGGTTAAGGAAATTTAATTAGTAAGTTACACTAACTAAGTAACCAGTGGAAACATACTGTTAACAAAGTTTTATAGTCCCAGAATACTGGCAATTGTTTCAAAATATGTATGTATAAAAATTTATGTCAAAAAATATATAATATGTAAAAATGGGATCTTAAAAAGTATATTTAGTCATTTCAGTTACATATTCTGAACTTGTACAGGTTCAAGATTACAAGATTATATACAGGTTCTTATACAATATTTTTATGTTCCACTGCAAATTTTGCTAAAAAACAAAAAATGTATGTAAATCATTTTTTTCTTTATTATAAAAAAAATAAATAAAAATTTAAAAACTCGGCAAATGCGAAGCCAACAACACAAGAAAAATTTTACTTAATTAGGAATTCAAGCAAAATTGTTTCTGTTTTGTATACATATATTCTTTATACTGGATTCACACGACACTTCTGATTGTAATTTTAGCTGTCAAAAATTGTGAACTGACATCCGAAATCATAGCGCAAAAATATTGATTCACACGACGTATCATTATAATTTGATTGTCAGATTTATCAAAATACACACTTTTCAACTACTTTCACAAAATGTATGAAAGTGTATATTGCAGTATTATGTTGCACATATGACATATACAAATGATAGATACTTTGAACATAAGATATGTATATATGATAAATAACAGTTTCGTTTTAGTTTGTAAGAAAATTTCATTAATTTCGCAAAACTATTCACAAGAACAATATTATATGATATATGACCAATTACAATTGGTCATATACTGATCTTTCAATATATGTACTTACCTGTCCATATTCCTGTGGTACCACAATGAGTCATTATTTGAGTTCATATGGAATTTTTGGAAACAAGGCCATCACTTCAACGTACCTACCTATTTTGACCTCACAATTATTCACAATAACACAAGTTTGTACTGCAGAATATTGTACTACGGTGAACTGTCCAAGTTAAGGTCAACTTGATTTTGTAGGAATTACGATTCAAAAAAAGGTTAAGGTTTTTTAAAAGAGTTTATGCAGGTTTTTCGAAAACTTGTCAGTTATATCGTTTCTGTCAAAAATGTAATGACTAGGTATGTAGACAATTGTTACTTTATTCGTAGCCGCCAACTTATATAAGCTATGCTTGTGATCACGGATTAGCTTAGATTTTTAACAGAAACTGATGAGAAACACAGATACAAGTGCATTATAGCAGTTACCAGTTACTTATTTTTATTTGATACTCATTATAATCAGCTATTTTGGTTGCTGTACTTAGTTCTATTAGAATGTAAAAATTAGGAAAAACTGAAGACTATATAAATCAATGTATCTTAATAAATGTTTACAGCATTCGTATTTGTGTTATTATTATTATTATTATGAAATGTTCTATAAATTACAATCACAGTTCAAGAACTTAGTCTATTCAAATATGCCCTATAGCCCTATTGCGCGCTAATGCTCTAAGCTCGTACAAAAAAATTCGATTTAATGTGTTATAAATTGTGATAAACGAAATGCAAATCATGATACTCTATATAATGTAATAGGAATGCGAAGTTTTATATGAGTCTGGCATGAGACATAATCATTGAGTTCCTGAAACACACCAATTGGTTGGTGTATTTAATGGAATAGTTTATGTATATAATAAATTGGTTTGTGTATGGGATGCATATGTGAAATTGTATAATCGTTTATTATAATAATTCGATATGAAAATTTAACTTTACTTATTATTCTAATCGACCCATATTTATTGAAGAATAATGCTTCTCCTTTTGAAATTTTCGGCACTACTGCACTGTTGCATTTAATAGGTAAAGCAGCGCAGATTAGATTTTGCAAAAATAAAAAAAATTAATAAAAAAATAAATGCGAAGACATAAAAATTGATATTGAATAAAACAACATTTAAAACAATTTAGCAAAAAAAAGTGTTATTATGACAAATTCGGTTTTGTTTTCTATTTTCACAAACGAAAATATCTGCGAAGTGACGACAATGTTTGATTAGTAGAGAGAAACGAGTGTGTGGATCAAGTTTAAGTGAATTTTTATGCGTTTTAAAAATTGCATACAATAAAATAAACTATAAAAAAAATTATTCAAAAAAAGAAAAAAACACTACGAAGTTGAAAAGTGCATTGTGCATTAATATATTTGCACTAAGCAGAATCAATAAAAAATATAAAGTAGTCGTTATGCTTAAATTAAGTATAGTTTTTGGCTTATTGGCGTCAATTATTTGGCGCACAACACCCACGAATTGTCGTCAAACACCTCCGACACACAGCAACGTCAATCATTTAATAGCAGCGAATATACAAAATTTCATGGATACGTCAGCACGACCATGTGAAAACTTCTATCAGTACGCTTGTGGGCATTGGTACCAGCATCATATTGAGCAAGTGGACTTCGGTGATACGTTGGGTTTACTTGAGTATGAGCTCAATAAGAAGTTAGAGCACGTCTTAAAGAGACTTGGCAATGTCACCGCTGATGAGGATGAAGAATCAAGTTTTTATCAAAAGGTACACACTTACTACAAGTCCTGCAAAAAAGTGAAACCATACAATTTGAAAAAATATCTCTTACTTGTACAACCGAATTACGAGACAAGTTGGTATATTTTGTCACGCAGCGGCGGCAAAAACTGGCAAGCGGAAAGGTTTGATTGGTTGCAAGCTGTGGCGAAATTGCGTCTTTATGGCTTAAACGGTGTACTGCTAAAAGAAGAAATACTTCCGCGTTGGGACGAATCCAGCAGCAACAGCATTTATTTGGACAAACCAAATTTAATTGAAACTGAACCCATGGGCGAGGGGGCGGCGATTGAGCTAATGCTTGACATTGGTCAGACGAAGCGTGTAGCAAACGAGATTTCACGTGAAGTTCACGCTTTTGAATTGCAATTACACAAACTTCAGGAAATTGAGGATGAAGAAGGTGCAAAGGAAATGCAGTTGAGTTATTTGCAAGAGTACATGCCACAAATTGATTGGCTAGAATATATACGGCAACTTAAAGGCCCTACAACAAATTTAGCGACCACGGTTATTATACAGAATGTACCTTACATGCGTGCACTAGTAAAGTTACTGAACACCACAGAGCGTGAAACGGTTTGCAATTATGTGATGCTTAAGTTTCTGCATTTCCTGAAGCAACAAGGGCCTGCTGAAATCTCAAAACAGGAATGTGTCTCTAGTTTGAGACGTGCGATGCCATTGGCCATGAGCTATATTATTGGCACGCACTTTAACAAGGATATTGAACAAAATGATGAAATTGTACAACGTATATTCGCATCTCTGAAGCAAAAGTTTTATGAAATTCTCAGTGATAATCGCCTACAACTACAACAGCCAATTGTTGATGTACTGTTACAGAAGATTAAGAGCATGCAATTGCAAGTTGGCTTTTCGCCTCGCAATGTTTCAAATGGATTCTTAAATGAATACTATGAGCGCATCGAGCTAGATGCCAGCAACTTTTATGTCAATCAGTTGAGTTTGTTACGCTTAACAGTGGAAAAGAGTCATGAAAGTCTGGAACCAGCGGTAGCTTCAAATTTTCTAGCCATTGATAATAGTACTTACCTTTTGGCCGAAAGCATAACAGCAACCTCTTCGCCTTACTATATAAAGCCTAGAAATCTTATAATTGTACCATATGGCTTTATGCAAATGCCTGTTTATCATCGTAATCTGAACGACATCTTTAAATACTCTGTACTCGGTTTTATCATAGCGCATGAGGTGCTGCATGGCTTCGATTCAAATGGCATTGATTATGATAGTGTGGGGAATATAATGGGCCCAAGTGAGGAGATCGCAGCTAATCACCGTTTTATGCGTGGACTACGTTGCATGCAAAATGAATTAGCAACCGGTTCACGCAGTTTGAACGAAAAGCTGGCTGACTACGAAGGCTTTCGTTTAGTTTATGACACTTACTTCAATGGTAGTTTGCTGCATGAGCAGTCAGTTGGTCATGTTAAGGTGTTGCCACAGTTCACGAGTAAGCAGCTGTTTTTTATCCACTTCGCTCAGTTTTTCTGCGGAAAAGTGCATCGGAGTGTGAAGCAATCAGCATTTTTGGAACATGCATTAGATGAACTTCGCGTTCTGCAAACTCTTGCAAATTTTGAGGAGTTCTCAAAAGAATTTGGTTGCGACAAGAGAGCTAAGATGCAATCCAAAGTACGTTGCAAATTGTGGTGAACTGAGAACTTGTGTAATGCTTAGGAACAGTGTTGTATATTTATTTAAAAAAATTAAATTAGAACAATAATTATGATGTATCAAATTGTTAAATAAAATATTTGTTAAAAAAGATTTATGTTTCATTTTAAAAAAATCAAAAAATCATTAAAATATATGTTCTAGTCTCAAAAATTTGTCATAATTTCCATTATGCAGTATGAGCGTCTATATCCGAAACTTGATATACTGAATTACTTACTAACGTTTTATTCTGTTGGATTATTAAAATTTCTAATCATTTTTATATATTATTGTTGCTTAATCAAGTACAATTAACGACAACATGCATATTTCATAATTTAATTTTAATATTTCCTTTAGTTCAACAGAGAAGCAAGTCTGAGACTTTGTGATCCCACGCTTATCGATTAGGGCATTTTGCTATTGCAAGCATTTTAATATTGTGTTAAAATTATTTAATTAAGTTTTTGGCATGGCCCTGCGGGTACGGGGTTAGAATATACACGAGGCTAAAATCCCGGCGCCGTTTCGACACTGTTTGAAATGTGAATAGTAGTGAGTGAGATTCTCTTGCGACACCCGACCGAAGGTGTAAATCTGGTACAACGGGTTCAGTGTCCATAGCTTCGGCTGTTCTGACCAATTGAGGCTGGCAGTGTCGTGGTGGCTGTGGTTAATACTCAAGCTTACACGGAAAGAATAATTGTAATTTACTTTCATTTACATCGGGCGATGTCACCCAAGTGATCAGCTGAGGTTGGATGGGCCTTTTTCTAAGGTGAAAGTTGTGTCGAACATATAACTTCAATTAGTACCGGCGAAAATTCTTTCGAATTTCCAATTGGGCATTTATCGTCGCATTATCTTGATATGCATGTTTTTTAGAACACCGTGGTGTTACGTCTTCAAGACAGGTAACCACGCTAAACAACACTGAATTTTGACTATTTAGCTATTTTAAGCATCAAGCGTACCAACTATTCATTCATTTTGGGTATATTAGATTTTAATCTCATATTTTTGAAATGAAAGTTGTTAAAAATTCTGACATTTGGGTTTGATTTGATTTAATTTTTAAGAATTTCTCCGGATAACTATTGGTGTAAATAATAGGGTGATTCTTTAACTCAGTTTCTATTCAAATTTATATTTCCATATATTATATCAAATTTATTTTATTATGAACGAAGTATAGAATTTAGGTGTACATTCTGTTTAAAAAGTGTCCGGAATTATTAAAACACTGTAGTAAAAAATGATCAATCAATCAAAATTAATGTTTCCACTTCTTAAGTAGGTCACATCATGTGCATTATAATATATCAACGTTTAATCCAATTCGCACACATTTTTCGTAAAATGTTTAAGATTAGGTATTCAATTCACTCAATCAATTTTCTTTAATTTTATTTTTTCTTTTAAAAAGATTTTTTAGAGGGTGCAAATTTAGTTGGAGAATTGATTAAAGTCACATGGGCCATGCCAATTGAGTAAGATCCCATATATTTTACAATAATGATGTTGTGCGACCGTAGAATATTGAAATCTCTGAATAACAAGCCCAAATCTTGCATGGTAAAATAATACAATGCTACCAACGTAGTGGTTCCCAACCTTTTTTTGATCAAGAACCTCTATGATATTTTTGTTTTCGATAGGGATCACAAAGTTTAAGAACAATAAACTGCATTTCTTTTAATGTGCTTGATGTGTCTCTGGTATTATGTATAATGAATTGTATAAATGCATAGGTACATTATCATTTTCCCAAACCATTTTAAACTATCTCGTGGACCACCGGTTGGGAACCATTGGTTTAAATTACAACAAAATGTAGTTATTTTATTGGATATTATTTGAATATTTTAATATTTTTACAAATTAAACATATTTATGTATATTATATACAAGTATATGTAGAAGAATGTTTTTATTGTGCATGAGATATTTCACTGTAATGATAATTTATTATACATATATCTTACGATGTTTTCGATTGTAAGATCTAGATTCAATCAATCTCGATCTGTCAAGTTTTGTTGCCTAATCAAACATGTTTAGTGTATCTAATATTTTTGCAGTTGTGTAAGTAGACATGACATATGGACATTTATCTGTCAAATCATATAAAACAAGAAGGTATGTTAATCATGCTACTCTGGCAAATTATCTGGAGTGTAATAAATTAATCTCGAGTGTTATAAATTTCGTCTGAGATTTACTCTTCATAAACGAAAATTACACTAAGGTAAACTCAATTAAAAAAAGTTTGCCCAGATTTATCAATTCAAATCGGCATTAGATTGATCTGACATGTTATTTATAGTCATTATCTGAGGTAGAGAAAAGAATGTAGATGTAAAAGACTCAAAAATTTATCACAAATTTTGGATTTTTTTGAAATTAAAATTTTATTTACAATAAATAAATAAATATTATTTTTTTTATCATATTATTATTATTTATTGTTAATTATATTATTATTTTATATTAATAAATAAATATTTAGACCAGAAATATCTTTATAAATGTGTTAATTATTTATTTTTATATGCTACTTTACCATAACCTACATTTCACCGATGGATGCATTATGTCTCCCAAATCACACCGAAACTCCTTCGCGAATGGCTCGAAGTTCAACAAAGTCTCCTGCAATCGCACATTATCGGAATCATGTTCTGAAAATTCAGCCTGTAAGTTGCCACAAAAAAATTGAGCAAAATTTAGAAAAAATAGTTTCTTAACCGGAATTTTTGTAAAGTTGGGTTGTTTGATATTTAAGTGGTGTGTAGAATTTTCACCGAATAATACATCATAGGCTAAACGCACTCCGACAATGTCAGCAATGCGTTCATCAATACTTTCGGTTTCATGACTTTGCATGCACTCGACGGCACTGGCGTAGTTTTTGTTCTCGGTTATGCCATCGCCGATTTCATTATTGTCGCCCTTATAGTCATAACTAACACCGGTAACATCGAAACCGTGCGTAATTTCGTGAGCCATCAAAAAGCCGAGCAGGCTCAGTTTAAACACATCATGCATGCTTTTATGGAATATAGGAGGTTGTAAAACGCCAAACGGTACTATAATCATATTGCTTTGCAGTAGATAGAACGGCGAAGAGCTGCGTGCTGTATCGCTGTCAGTAATAAAGAAGAAATCGGTGCTATCTGTTATATTGTGTTCGAGTTGTTCATGTTCCTTTATAAAGCGTAGTTCTAATAGGTTCAGGTGATTTTTATAGTAATTCTTTACATCTAATTGTAAATCACTGTAGTAAGCCTCAATGCGTGTTTTATTTATATTCGCCGGTAAGTTGCCAATATTTATTTTCATTTTAAGCAGTTTTTCTGTCAGTAGTTCTTGTTCAGCCGACGTAAATTGGAGTATGTTTTGTTTTATTTTCGTTAAAAATTCAGTTCTTACCATATTCATTATATTATGAACTTCACCATTGTATAAGTCCATTTTGTTGTCATAGAATCTCTCTTTGTATATAAAGTTAACGGCATAGTCCATTTTGCTCCGCACATCAACCATACAATCAATTTTATCAAAACTCGTGGTGGTATCGACGGATAGATAATATAAAAATTTTACCATCAAATAATTACAAATCAGTTTCGGTTCCATCTCTGCCATAAACTTTGACAACTCTTCAAAATACTTAAAGTTTCGTAAGTGTACTGAGAAATTATTATCAATTTCATATTCAAATATAATTTTAAAATATTTACGCCACGGTATTTTTGGTATATTATCCACCAGATCTTGCACAGATAAATTGAGAAGACCATATTCATCATCGATTTCCAACAGTTCAGCTAATTTTTCTTCGAATTTCAACAACTCATTAGCAATTAATTTTGCTTTGGATTTTTCGACACCCACGGTTATAAGCAATGTTGCAATGGCAGCTTTTGATGGCAGCTTATTCTGACCGTCCAGTATAGGTTTGTCCAAATCAATAACGTATTCGCGTGCATTATCATACTTCTGTAATATTATATGATCAATAAGTGAGCCTTTTAAACCAAAACGATGTAGTTTTGCAAGCGTTAACATCCAGTTAAAATTTTCTGAGGACCAATTGATTTGATTATTTTGCGAACTCTTCAATTCTGGCCAGTTAAGATGTCCAGCTGGGCGCACTATATGCAGATATTTGACTAAATTTATATGTTTCTCCCGCCTACATGATTTGTAATACATCCACACTTTATTATACACATCGTGGCTATTGTCACCTGTGGTCGGAACATAAGATTCCAGGAGATCGACGAATCTTTTGTTTACTTTGTGATCTATGTAGCCCGTATTCTCTGTATAACGCCCCGTTGTATGTTGTTGAGACCAATTCCCACAAGCATAATTATAGAAGTTTACGCATGGATCTGCACTGACATCAAGGCTGCTCTCAATTACATATAACTGCTTCTGATTGACGGTGAGTACCGACGAGTTTCGTGGATAGGCCGAAGATTTATGAAGCAAAACCAATAGCGCCCATAGCAATCGCATTGCTTTGCTCTGTGGCATGGTTTTATATTTTGTTTTAAGTTTCTGAAGTCTTCGCTTTGGTTTGTTTTTATCAATGCTCACATTTGCACAGATTTCAATAAATATTATTAAATGTTACTTTAATAGAAGCTAATTTGTGACTAAATACATTTTTTCATGAAAATTTTGCTAAGCGATAAGTCGCCGGATTTGTACTTAATAACATTTTTGCCGTTTTTATATAAATTAAAAATATTTTTTGCCTTTACAATGTTTTGTTTTTTGTTTTTTGCTTTTTGTTTTTGCTTTTATTTTTGTTTTTATTTTAATTATTTATATTTACTTTAGTACGTATTTCAGTCTATATATGCAATACTATATCTATACATTCGTTTGTATGTTTGTACGTGAATGTCTCGCTGTTCTGTTCTAGAATCAAATATTGTAACACATAGTTTGTTTGCTTTTTCAGATTTCAGATTTTAGATCTTTTGCTTTGATAATGCCACTGTCATATGTGTTTCTGAGCTGGTACTGTGCTTACTCGCATAGCTAAGTTCAAAGTCGTGTTTCTGAACTTGAATTTTTGATAATTGTATGCAGAAGAAATTTAATAAACTTCATACTCCAAAAGAATGAATTAAATGTTAATATGTAGGAGAGCTTTTTAAATGTATTCATTGATATTCTTATATTATATGTTCTTTACACCAATCTATTAACAATGAAATCAGTGAGAGAGATGCACACATATATGTATTTGTGTTCTTATATCACAGATTCTTTGCAGACATCTATTGACATCGAGTAATTATGCTCGTTACATTAAAAGTACTAGCGAGCTCTTCAAATAATTAGGAAGTACCAAACGCATAGAATTGTTAAGACAAACTGGAAAGTGAAGTTGTAGTCAATAGTCGTTATATTAAAGATTTCAAAAGCACATGTCGGCTTTATTTTGTATGAATATTTATCTATAGGAAGCTTTTTTCGAAGTCGGTGCCGCGTTTACTGACAGTTGACCCAAAAACAAAAAAAGTGTCTATGATACTGAAAGCTGTTATGAGCTACTGAAGCGATATTAAAAATACTTTTGCGTCGGTCTGTAACAAATTTGGAACCACCTCTTCACTCCAATTGGCAGTCAGCTGAGTGAACAGCATCCACTGAACCCTGGAGAGGTTATGTTGTCCATATTTTGGAATGCGCATAAAATTTTGTTCACGGAGTACTTTGAAAAATATCATATCGTATATCGTATATTAAAGTCTACGCCTTTACAATACTCTGAATGATTTTATTTATAGAAATAGAGCATATCAACAGAATGAATATTATATCTTTTCATTATAATGAAATAACCTACAGCAATATATTTATATTACATCTTCAATCATTTGAATATTTTGTATTATTATTGTTGAGTCTATAAAAGATCATGTAGATATGAGATAATCCTGAGGTTGCGGTAAGGACTCTTTTTGTTGTGTGATTTTAATATTACCTTTATTGGTTTGAATCTATAATTGTAATCGGAGATCATTTTGGCTTTAGAATTTGATAATGAAGAAATGATTTATTTCACATGGAAAGATTTATTTTCATCCGATTTACAAATTCTTATGCGGACAACTATATCTAACAAGTTTGACTTGTATAGGGTCATATACAGCCAATCATAACATCCATTACGTACAACAGAAATATATGCGGAGATGATCTACAACAAAAAAAAAAATATATATATAAGTATTGAATTTAGAAGGATTGTCTTACTAGGCAATTCATCAAAATTTGTAAATAATATGATTCAAAACTATATTGCCGCAATATACACCGGCAGTGTTGATATCACACCATTACGGACAAGAATTTACATTATTAAATGAATAAATTCGCTGTGAACATAAAAGGCAGCCACTGATAAGCTACACTACAAATACGCGGCAAATAATTTTAAAAATCTAGGATATAATAATTGTACTAGAACCTATTAAAATGGAATACAGATCGACCAAAAGCAACATATGCAATGCAGAAAGGTAGGTGCATTGTTTGGCGTTACCATGACTCAAGCATTTCATCTTAATTTAATCGGAATACCTTACTGAGGTAATGAAGACAATCCGTGCTTTATTTAAATACACTGAGGTATACAGATTTTTCTTTAACGACAAATTTTTTAAAACTAAATTTGTTTTAACTCTATAATTCTTTTAACTGTTTAATTAAAAAAAAATATATGTATAAGAAAGATAATGTTCGTGCAGTGCTATTATATGAGATTAAAACATTATAAGTTGCATTGTATATTTCGAAAACGTAGTGATAGGTAATTACATATTTAGTAACTCCGAAATGTTTTATTGCGAAACCCAACACTTAACCGTATGACCCAGACGTGTGCTACTAGAATGCTATAGTAGCATACCTCAATAGTGAGGTAATTTATGTAATACTTCAACACGACTGGATGATGTGATGGAACAGTTTGTTGAGGTTTACCATGTTTAATTTACTGGCCTACTTACTTAATTACGTTTTGTTTGTAGTTTTTATTAAAAGATCAAGATTGCTTGCCTTTATTCATTAGTCACTAGAACACAATAAATGAAGGTTATTAATATGTTTTTAAAAATAATTGTGGACATAATTTGCAACATGTTGCCACGAGTCCAAGAAAACGAGGGAACCGATCAAGCGATCAAGATACAAGTTGAATAGGAAAACTGAATATAAATACTAGGCAATCAGAACTCTGTACAAAAGAATTCAGAAAACGAAATGCTGTTGTATTAGAAGAGCAAAACAAAAATATAGTGGGCTGATGAAAGAGACAATGTTAACATATACTGAAATAATGAATGAATCTATTAATCAAGCAGAAATCACCCACCACGGAAAGCTGTAAGAGTAAAATATATTTTTATTCATAGAGTAAAGGGAAATAAGGCAGACTTTATGTTTATTGATTTGAGAATAATTCATTCTGCACATACCACTTCCCACATTGATTTCCACTTTCTGGTTACTGAGAGCTTAATATCATTACAACATCTGGATTTCTAAACAAGACTTACATTTGTTATCGTCTTAGTCATGTGTGCATATATGCAAACTCCTAAATCGCGCTATTCAGTTTATATCAATTATTTCAGTATAATCAATGTATTCAACTCTCATAAAATAGTCTTCACATACTCCGATTTCCATCAAAGAACTATTCTCTCTTTATGGCTTTTTTGATTATTTCTCAATTGTACCCTCTTCTTCTTTTCTGATACCTTGGTAGCGAACAAGGTGAAAATATGACATCATACAACTAGTGTATTTGTCATGTTACGTACATATCGCTTAGAACAAAATAAAAAATAGTATAGATATAAACCACTACTACCACTACTAACTTTACTACTACGTCTAAATTCTCAAATTCTCGCATAAGTATATCACGGCTGTTGAAGCAGAGGGAATGAGGAAACTCTAATCAATTACAAGTACCAAGTCATCAGAATTGAAGCAAAGTGAATTTTTCTACTCAAATTATGTACTTGGGGACATTAAGAACGAATATGCAGATATTTTCTTCAAGAGATTTACCACGCTGAACTTGATCTAATGTAAATAAACAATTCGAAGAATTCAATTCGCTTTCAACTGTTCATGTTGTTTATTCTGAACTTATTTTGTATTTCTATATATTTTGTTTATATACGCATGAAGCCAAAGTTATACAGTCATCTGAGAAGCTTCGTATGAAGGGGTTGTTGTGCCAAACCTATACTTAAAGCTTACTTCCTATTATTTATCTCCATGTCCTACTATTTAAATGTCTGATTTATCCCACACCGTATCTTCAGTTCGCTTACAAATATCGCACAATAGTTGAACTATTGACACTAAATTTTTATAGTGGGTGACCTATTTGAAAATGTATCATTTCGTATAAATCAGACATTTCAGAGACCTTTTATTTCGATTTTGTGAATATATCTTTCGTTCATTTTAAGAGAAATACATTGCTCCTCTTCATTCACTATTCGTTGAGAATTTGGTGGCAGTTGAAGATCGATTGATCTTCGCGCTATTTGTTATATGACAAAGCCTCGTTTCGTTTCATCGTATTTTAAATTGCATAAAGAAATCAAAGTTTGTTTACATTCACATTTAACGAATTGAAACTCACACTCACTTTTTCATGGTTCTTCTGATTATTTCTGATTACTATTATTGCAACATCTTCGTCTTTCCTGTTGGCCTGGTACCTTTAGGGAGAAGACGGAAATTTCGCGCACTTTTTTGAATACTTTGGAAAGCATACTTTAATAATGCTAATGCATTTCTGATGAAGACACCCTTAAACACAACGAATTTGCATAGATCTACTGTTGAAATTAGATGTCTTTGTAAACAATGTTTACTTCAATCTTTTTTACTCACAAATATAATATATCAAAATTCTAAATAACATTGCTTCGTCATCAATTTAAGATTCTTCAAAGCACACAATCGAATGCAATAAGTTTATGTGTAAGATATATTACAGATAATATATGTGTCATTGCTTTGGTAAAAGAGTATTTGGGATCATGCAATTAGTAGTTACCATATTGTTGATATTGTTGATATTGTTGCTAAATTGAGTTAGTAATCTAAGAGACGATAAGCTTTAGCTTAAATAAATAAACAAATCTGAATTTGTTTCAGCGGTTTTTGATGTTTATATTAAGATTAATAAAAATCAAGTCTGTCTGTTCTCCATTAAATATAACTTCTTGTGAATTAAATTCAGAGTGAAAAAAAAGATAATTTTTGAATTCAAATTCGCTGTACTTGACTTTTTTTTGACTAATTTTGGTATTTTGCCAAAATTAACATTCACGAAAAATAAGGAAAATGACGATTAAATAATTTCTAATTATGTATGTGTTTATTATGTTCAATCGATTTTAATACAAAACGGCAGTTAATGCTGCCTTGTCTTAATGCTTTTCTGATCAATTCAGTGAAAATATTATAGATATTTCCTTACATTAAATTCTGATCGCTTGGTAACTATGTGAATTCGCTCTAACATAACTCCCTGACTGACTTGCATGACTCCGAAGGGTTAGGCCACTTTACACAAACATGGTAACAGTTAACATAGACTTAGTTGTAAAGAATTGATGAGATATTGACACAGT